AGGTCACCAACAGAGCAGCCCCAGCTTTACACAAAGGTGGTTTTGCTGGAACAAAAGCAAAGGCCACAGAAATAGGTTGATTTCTTTTCCTCTTTTTCCTGAGATATGACTAAACTCCAGGAGCAGGTAGTGCCTAGGCATCCTGCAAGCATCCTGCAAGCAGGGCTTTCAACATGAAGGAACAAAAGGCTGCGGTGGGGAGAATGGTGGGAAACCTTGTGGGCTCCCGAGATTCATTTGAGACCTGGTGTTTGCAGCACAGGCTATATTTCATCTTTTCATAAGTAACTCTTACCAGGAAACATTACAAAAAAGGGGGCATTTCAAGGCAGAAAAGTTGGTCGCCAAACGTCATTTTATTTTATTTTTTAAACCTTTTGTTAGCAACTCTTCTGGGGAGCAAATCCAGCAGAGGCAATACAGTGCAGCTTGCACTCCTAAATTAGTTTCCAGGCACTTGGGATGCTTTATTATTAATTTCCTCCAAATATTAGGTAATGCCTTTCACCCCTTTCAAAGTCTATACGAGGGGTCTTTGATGCATTGTGGGACTTGAAAGTTTCAGGTCTAAAGAAGCATTTCTTTTAAGTCCTCCCTTTTATCAAGCATATTCTGTTCTGTTCGCTATAATGCACACAATGGCATGAGAGTCTTGACCTGCTTCATGTCTGATGAGTTGAAATCTCAGATGCATAGGATAAAACAGCCATTCCTAGCAATACAGCTTAAACACTTAGGGCTCTATTCAGGCAAATATTACCCAGGGGTCTGCCACACCACTGAAAAGCTGCAGAAATTGGCTCCGTAGACGGCTGACCAATTCAGCAGTGAGAAATGACCCCGCCACATTAACTCCCCTTTTCATTTCACCCTGGGCGAGCCGGGGTCTGGAGGTAAGCGCAGCAGAAGGCGAGAGCCGGCTGAAGCCAGATTCATTTTCTTTATATAAAGTATTTTTGTGTGCGTGTGTGACCATGAATGTCATTATGCGGATCTGCAAAAGAAGGAAAGTAATGACATTAGGGCACAGGCGCAGGAATCAGGGAGGTTTTTGTCTTACAGTGACACCAGAGCGCTGTCACGTCTTCTGGACAAGCAGAATCTGTAGGCTTTAAAACACTGCAAATGTCTTAGAAAAGCAGGTCTCTGCCTCTGCTGAAGGCATGCGGAGTTTGCTGGGTCTCTTTACACCACCCAGCATCAGTGTCCTCCATGTGCTAACCAGAATTAATACCTCTTGTTCCATAACAATTTACCCTGTTTAAAGGGTTTTTTTTCACCCTGTTTTTTCCTCTTTATACTGCAAGCTCACTTAAAGAGACAGCTCCTGTCCAACAATACACTGGACCCAGGGCTGGGGTGCAAAGTGAAACTTATTATTGCAAAAGCAAATACATTTTGGTACAAAATACCATGTTTTTGTCCTTTAGACCATCGCACCAACATGTTTTTACAGAAGTACCATGGCTATTTTAAGACATTAATATCCTCTTATCAATCTCCTCTTATCAATCTCCTATTGACAGGCTAGAACTAAGAAAAAAAATTTAAAAGTCAATCTGGAAAGGCAAGGGTAAAATTTAATGCACAAGCTGGAGAGTTCCTAAATGGGCTGAAGATGCTGGAATTTGCCTTGCATGTTTTCTACCCTAGAAGCAAAAGATGCCTCTAGAACAAGTCAGAAAGCAAGTGTTCAGACTATATGGGAAGATGTTAGTAAAAGAGAGAGGCCCTGTTTTTCTGACTCCTCTTGCCTGCCCCAGTGCTACACCCTGGTATGACCTGCAATCCCACCCTGTCAGCCTGAGACCAGTCTTGATAACCCAAACATTTCACTGGGAAAAAACATTTCTTAAGCTATATAAAAAGGAAGAAGTTCATCTTGCAGGAGTAAAACCCAGCTAAGTCTTTCCTGATGCTGGCAACACATCCAGAAGCACCTCCTGCAAAATGGGAATATATGCATCTGCAGGCCCTGGTCCTGGTGTGTGTGACTTTAGGATTAGCTCTAAAAGCAAATAGATCCACAAGGATATAATCTCCCAACCCAGTCACCTCCTCCAGGATGCTGCAGATCTGAACACAAGCCTGATTTTTGAAGGATGTTGAGCATCCCTCTCACAGCTGGCATGGCCGTAGCAGCTACAGGTAACAAAAATAACATGGTAAAGACTGGACCATGCTTTGACCTACCTGGTGTAGTTGAAGATGTCCCTGCTTATTGCAAGGAGTTGGACAAGATGTCTTCTAAAGGTCTCTTCTGACCCAAACTATTCTATTCTATTCTATTCTATTCTATTCTATTCTATTCTATTCTATTCTATTCTATTCTATTCTATTCTATTCTATTCTATTCTATTCTATTNTATTCTATTCTATTCTATTCTATTCTATTCTATTCTATTCTATTCTATTCTATTCTATTCTATTCTATTCTATTCTATTCTATTCTATTCTATTCCTATTCCTATTCCTATTCCTATTCCTATTCCTATTTCTATTTCCATTTCTATTCTATCCTATTCTCAGCTCTCACATTACCCACCTGGCTAGGAGGCCTTTTAGAAGCCCTCTTAAGCATCCCTCCTAAAACACCATCAGGACACACATGGTCTGTGCCCCACAGGTGAATGGTGCAGTGCTGGTCTGCCAGAGGACAGCTGACAAGTCATTGTTGTGCATGCTACAAATCCTCTGAGCCAGTAAGAAAACTCAAACAATGTGAAGATTTATCAGTTTGCAGGTGGAAATCCTTTCAGTCGAGACAACAATTCTATTCCTTTTGAGGTAAACTAAAAGTTTTTGCTCAGGGACACCATCAGGAGCAGAAGGCAGCACAAGGATGGGACCCATCACTCACGAGTCAGCAGAAAGATGCTGACAGAGGTGTCCGCACAAATTTTTAAGGAGCCTGAAACAGCTCTTTTGAGAGAGGGAGACAGAAGAAAAGAGCAAAACTGCAGGAGAAACAAAATCTATTTGTTGACACAAGGCAGCTGGCACAGGAGTGCAGAGATGATAATGGAGCCTGATGGATAGTTCAGAGGATTATCAGATACCCTCCAACTCAAATATGCTGAGGAACCAATTATTTAATGCTGAAGGCAGTGCAAACAGATGTTTAATAAACTGGATCACTTCAGGATTGTTGGAGCTCAAGGGGCCAAACCCCCACTGGTGTAAATCTGGAAAGCCAGCGTGATGAAATACCCAATGCTTCAGATACACACAGGCCCTCCCAGTCATCACCATCTCTGCCAGGAAACTGGGGGGCATGCAGGGGAAACACAGCTGGAATTTGGGAGCAGATGGGTGCAAGAGGACTCTGGGGTGGGGAAGCATGTTCACCACCCCAGGCTGACAGCACTCAGCTCTGCAGCCAGTATCCTGGCTTGTTGTCCTGTTTACAGGAAAAGGGGCTGCTGTTCTCAGGAACAGTCTGGGATTCTCTTCTAGCTGCTTGCAGAGAGGCAGCAGGGGAGCTGTAGGAGGTGTGGGAGACAGAAAGGAGTTTAGTCTGTGCTCCAAGCACTGATTAGAACCTGTTTTGGAGTCAGGGATGATTCCTGTGAACAAAGCACCCCTTCTCAAGCTCTTCTGCTGGCAGGGATGTTGGGGAAAAACCAGGTCTCAGCACCCTCCCTGGCTGCCCTGTTAGGAGGTGATCCTGCAGACACACAGCCCTTACCTGGGCTGCTCTCGCAGCCAGAAAAGAGAGACAGAATTCTGCTCATTCTCACATGCTGTCCAAACTAGATAAGATGTAACATGGGATAGAAACATCTCCACTAACTATAAACAGCCCCTACATTTTTAAATGTCTGAAGATTGCTTCCTGAAACCACATTGTGTAAGTTTCTCCCTTTATCTACACTCAAACTGTACTACAGGAGCTGAGGTGTGTTTTAAAAAAATCTGCATTTCCCCATGATCTAACCTCCACTAGTGCTGCTCCTGTAGTCCAGGCTACAGCAGAGATGCAAGAATAGATGTAAGAAATAAATTTGTTATGATGAGGATGGTGAAGCCCTGGTACAGGGTGCCCAGAGCAGCTGTGGCTGCCCGTGGATCCCTGGAAGAGCCCAAGGCCAGGCTGGATGGAGCTTGGAGCAGCCTTGGGTAGTGGAAGGTGTCCCTGCCCATGGCAGGGGGTTAAAATGAAATGAGCTTTAAAAGCCCCTTTCAACCCAAACCAGGGTTCTACAGTTCTGTGACAGCCCAGCATCAAGATGCTCCTCAGCATCCATCACACATGCACAGAGGAAAGCCGTGGGAATTTGGTCCCTGAGGGATGGGAACCTGCGGGGGCTGACAGCATGGTTCTGCTGAGGGTTTGGCCAGTGTAAACAAGGAATCTGCTCACGAGAAGATGGTGAAAAAAAACCCCCAGCCTCCCACCTGACACAATGCAAAATACCTCAGTTCAAAAACATCAGCTCAGGATCTGGCTCTGGCATAGCTCAGATGATAAAAAAAGGATTCTCCTTTCTTCCTGTTCAAGACCTCTAGGCAAACATCCAAGTCACAGCCTCCCGTGTGACAGCTGCAGAAAACAGGTCTGGAGAGGACCTTGAAATGCCACCCAGATCGCAGCCCTGTGACTGGGTCTGAACGGGGCCAAAAGCACTCCAAGCATTAACAAATATTGTTGCTTGGTGCACTCCTGTGCAGCTGCCAGCCTATCTGCTGCCTCCTCCTTCCAGCACTCAGCAGTGAGAACACACATATTGATGAGAGCATCTTCCACGGATTTACAGGAAGAGCAATTAGAGGTTTGGTCGTTGACGACAGCAGAGAATCGTGGTGCTAGTGGTAAAGATGATTTGTGCTGATCCATTAACACAGCAAACTACCTCCTCTCCCACAGGAAATCTCAATAACTGAAGGGCAGATCAGAACCCCAAGATCCCAGAAAGGTATCAGGACAACCACATAGTTCACCCCAGTCTCCATCCTGCTTGCCAGCTCTCCCCACAAAGCTCACCCCAGCGTGTACTCACCAATACCCTTGATTTTGTTTCAAAGAGGTGATGCTCCTTTCACTCCTCTGACCATTTCCTAAAGAAAAACAGAGAGAAAAAACACAAAACAAAACCCTTCATCAGATCCAGGACTGATTATGTGGTTAAGAAGAGTTGTGAAGAAGCCTCTACCAGGAAAATGAGAAACCAAGGAGCCAGGCCTGCTCCTGCTCTCCTACCACATGTGTTCCCAGGGTCAGCTCCTCTGCTCATCACCGTTCCCTGTACCACAACATCACCTAGCAACACCGTGCCAAGGAGGTGCAAGCCCACCCCATCCTCCCCCTGTATCACATCTCCCGTGACAGCTGGGAGATGAACACCCCAGGAATGGATCACACCGGAGCAGCTCTGGACTACTCCACCCATCCCTCCCCCGGATAAACATTACACTTTGGCCCCTCAGGATTATCAGCTTATTCCTACATCCACAGTTCAGTCACCAGCGGCAGCTCAGTAGAACCTGCAGTGCAAATCCACAACAAATCCACATTCCACAACTGCTGGGGTGCAGAGATGGAAGGTGTATGAAGAGCATCTGCCCAACTCTGTCCATGAAAGTTTCCTGCCCCTCTTAGCTTGGGAAAACCTTTTGGAGAAATGGAGCTCTACTGAAGCTCCTGGCCACCACTTGCATTTCCAAGTGATGGAGACAAGGAGCTTGGATTTCCAGAAACTGACACCTCCATGTGGGAGACCCAGCAGCTTGGCTGGACTCAGGGCTGATGAAGGAGATCAGCAAAAGGACGTTTTGGGGTGCTTTACTCCACTTCAGAACAACCTCAAATTGTGAGAACCCCACCAGCAGGTAGCCACCATATCAACAAGGACCCTAGGGCAATTTAGGGGACTGACCCAGGCCTTCTCCAGGGTGAGGACTGAGAAGAAAACCATTGTGGCTATTACCATACTGGGAACATATGATGCAGTAGTGCTCAGCTGGAAAAAGCTCCTGTGGCTCAGCAGTCAGATGGAAATGCACTGTTTGCATGCCAAAGAAGCTGTAGTCTGGGGTATGTTTCCCTAAAATGGGAAAACACCACCAGCTCACACCTGTTCTTGAACCTGGGTTTGTACCTGAGTCCTGGCCAGGGTCAAGAGGTTCCCTTCTACACATGAAAGCTGCAAATGAAACAGGATCTCTCTGTCAAGACTTGTGGTATGCAAAGCAAGGAACAGCCACTCACTGTGTGCAGTCTCTCCATTGGGCAAGAAGACATTTATTATCATGGGGCAGCTGGAGATGGAGACACAGCCTTCTCATTCCCAGTTCCCAAGAGCTTCCTGACTGAATCAATCACCCAAGCATCTCTCTTTCTTCTCCAGGCAGCCTCAGGTTTGCTAGTGCAGGGTCCACCAGCACTATTTCCCATTACTCATGGCACAAGGAAGCAAATGGGATTCTTCTCCCAGCTTTTAGTAAGAGCCAATGATCTCAATTCAGCTTTTATGAGATTCTCATTCTCATTATTTTCATGGGAAAGTGTCAACAATATTTTCCAAGTCAGGCTGACACCTGTATGTCAGGATGGAGAAACCAACAGGCTCTGATCCCCTACCCAACCTATGACACTGCTCTGCACATACACTCAAGGAACAGAGCAAAACCATGAAGGGTAATCTTTCTGATGGCCTCAAATTCTCCTTCTCACGTGTCTACAACCACCGGCCTGAGGACATTTAGGCAGTCTGAGGATATCCAGGCAGTAGGCAATGCATGGAGCACGAGTGGTGCAGCATGGAGTGGCTGCAGACCAGCCCCAGGGCCACCATCAGCCCTGAGAATGGGACTTCCCTGCAGCCAATGAGCCCACATGCTTTCAAGCGCATCCAGCTGCTGGGACCCTCCACCATGACCTCCTTCCTTAGCCAGGGCCCTGTTCAGTTCATTAACTCACAAGGAGCCACCACTGTGCTGGGCTAACAGCTTGTTTGCCACTCAGCAACCAAAGTGATCAACAATGAGCAAAGAGCTTAATGCAAGCCACTGTCAACATGCCCACATTGCACCATCATCTTTGTTTAGGGCAAAATTTACAGGGTAGGCTGCAAAAATCCTGCAATGGATCCTGGCTTCATGGCAGAACTGATGAGCCCTGCTTGGGTTGATGCACAACCTCCCCCTGGCACCAGGGCAGGGGCTGGCACCTCACTTCCTATGGGAAGTGTTGGGTTTCAGCTCTAACTTCTGCCCAAAGGCCTCCTTCTCCCCACAGGACCTTCACTGCAGCTGCTCCCCAGAGCAGCTTGCAATTCAGCACCTTGCTGTAGGCAGGTGGGGTTGGTGTCTTCTCACAAGCAGGAGGACAAGAGGAAACGGCCTCAAGGAGAGCCAGGGCAGGTTGAGATGGGATATGAGGAGAGATTTCTTCAAAGAATTTGCTACCAACCCTGGCAGAGCTGCCCAGGGCAGTGGTGGAGTCCTCATCCCTGGAGGGATTTAAAACCCATGTGCACATGGCACCTGGGACATGGGTCAGTGTGGCCCTGGCAGAGCTGGGGGCATGGTTGGACTCAATGGTCTTGGAAGACTTTTCCAGCCTAAATGATTTTGTGATTCTATCATTCCACCCAAAACAAATCATTGTTTGAGGCACAGAAAAATTCTCATGGGGCAATAAATGGGAGTTCCTTCGCTAATAAAAGGCTGCACCTGAATCACAGTTTCATCAATGCTCCAAGAAGAGTGGCTATGAATAAACACATTTGTGATCAACCCTCTGAATCAGAAGAAGCCCTGGTGCTTTCTTAGCAGTTTCCAAAATAGGATAGGCATTGCTGAGGGCAGCCCAGGATTCATGCTCCCATTCCCCAAACACACATGCAATGAGAAGCTACAAATCAACCAGGCTTGCCTGTGGCTTCCCCTTCAGCCACAAGGTCCCTTTTAGCTTCTTGGGGTTGTTTGCAGAATGACTCGAACACACCCTCCTGCAGATGACATTCAGATTTCTAATTACCCTCCCTGAATACATCACTGACATGCCACATCAGCTCACTCACGGGGCTGTTCCTCTCACGACGTGTTGCCAGCAGTGGAGCTTCTGCCCCTCTTCAGCACACTGACCTCCCCATCACATGGCTGGGCTGAGCTGCTGGGCTGGGGAAGATGATTCCCAAATAAACTAGGTGATGTGGAATGCTTGTCCTGCCCTTGAGGTCAAGCCCACATGAAGAAACAACCTTTATCACAGAATCACAGGGCAGTTTGGGTTGGAAAGGACCTTCACAGGCCATCTAATTCAACCCCTCTGCCATGAGCAGGGACATCTTCAGCTGAACCAGGTAGTTCAGAACCCTGTCCAGCCTGATCTTGAATGATTCCAGGACTGAGGCATCCACAGTTTCTCTGGACAGCCTGTGCCAATGTTCTACTACACTCATTGTAAAATACTTCTTCCTAACAGCTAATCTAAATTGATTCCCTTCAGTTTAAAACCATCACCCCTTGTCCTACTACAACATACCCTGTTAAGTTTGTCCTCATCTTCCTTCTAAGCCTTCTTTAGGCCCTGGCAGGGGCTCTGAGATCTACCTGGGGAGAGAGGGAGACCTCCCCTCCTGTTCTCTTGTGCAGGTGAACACACCCATTCTGCCAGGCTGGCTCCAGAGCAGAGGAGCTCCAGCCCCTGCAGCATCTCTGGACATTCCAGCAGGTCCATGTCCATGCTAAGGGCACCAGAGATTTCTCCAAGGAACAGTCCTGTCCTCAACAGAACAAGCACTGATGTATTTCCAGTGAACTTCCAAGGCTGCTATCCATGCTCTAGCCCTGACTAGTGGGAATTTAGGTCACCTGAAGCACAGGATTTCCCTGGACTGACAACCAGCACAGACCATGGGCACACCCTCCCCAGTGTCCAGGCCAGGAGGTGTCTCCCAAGGACATCCTGATAAACCTACACCAGTCCCTGGCACACCAGGTAGGATTCAACCCCACCTAAGGCATTTCAGGGTGGTGCTCACACAGATCCTGGCTTTAGTTGCCTTAATGCAGGTTTTCATTGCTACACTGGACTCTCTAAGCTATCCCAGACCCATGCCTGGTTTTGCCAGGCAAAACCCTGGAGTTGCATCCCTCCTGACTGACAGATGGAGACTAAGCAATGTGTCCTGGGGTAATAATGGACACCTATGGCCAGCAGCTGAATTGTGATTACACGTGTGGTGGCTGCCCCAGCTCTTACTGCAGCCCATGGGAATGCAGTTGGCACCATTTTGGGTGTTTGGTGAGCCACTTAGTTACTCAAACTTCAGTATCTCTTTTGGGGTATGAAACAGCCTCCAGATTCTCCTGGCCGAACATCCAATGACCCTAAAAGGAGATTGGGCACCAAGTTAGTATTTTGGTCTGCCACTGCAGTCTGCCTCCAGCTCCTGGTCTAAGTTTCAACAGGTCCAAAATAAAACCCACTTGCATGGGATGGGGATGCCCTGAAGCTCTGCACTCTCAGGCCCCTGCTGTGATGAGCAGAACAATCCTGGTACATCCACACTTCCAGGACAATTCCAGTGCTTGTGCGTAATAAGTATGAAACAAGTAAATTTGACAAAGAAAGGAGAAAGATCAACTGATATGCAAATCCATGTCAAAAACCATTCACCCAAATCTGATCTGAAGTTTTGAAATAATTTTGGAGGTTGCTTCTCAAGTGTTGTTTGCAAACCCTCTGTTAGTCTGGGAAGCAGATGCTTCTACAGTAGGCTGTATTACAGCATCTTCAAAAATCCCCATAAAATCCTACTTTAAAATGTCCATGACTTTTGCAATCAGTTCTTTTTAAATCTTCTGGCATATCTGAAAACCAAACATCATAAAAAAACCCTTTGCTGTGATTCAGCTGTAATGGGTCTAAGCCTGGGGAAGAGCTCATCTCACATCTTCTTTCATACCCAGGTGACCCTGAAATTCCTCCCAGAGGCCTCTGACCATTCCCTTCATATGCTCTAAGGCTTCTGACTTGCTCAGACTCTTGAGCTTCACTGAAAGCCTGTGTTGCCTCAAACAGAGCAGTGCCCTGGAGATGCCCTCTAGAA